AACCTCTCCTTAACCGACGATGCTTAATAATAGGTAAAAATAGCAATAAACAGGAAAAAGTAAGTAGATTATAGCGAATATTTTAGTTTTTTTATTTTTGCTTTAGGTAAAGTATACCGCAATGTTTTTTAGTTAGTTCTGTCAAAGTGCAACAGAAAAGATTTACTTCAATTAAACTAAGTAGCCTACAGTCTTGAAGCCTGATAGGCGGAAACTTTTGAAACTCTAAGATATATGATAAGATTAAGGCTTTTCTCAGTGTATAGTAGTTGATTTCATTTCAATATTGCTTTATTCTTCATTATCTCAAGGAAGAGCTTTCTTTTAATGACCTTAATTCATGCAAGGGGGTTATAATCATGAATATCAGTATATATAGACAAGAGGCGAAGTTAAATAGCTGGAAAGATTGGTTTCGCATAGTTTCCTGGCCTTATAACATGATAACAAATTATGAGTATTCAGCTTTTAAAATTTACTTAAGGCAATCAATCTAGGACTCGACCCCTTTTATATAAAAAATATAGGGTGTTTAGGAAAAGACCAATAAAATTTTATCTTAATTCTATTCCTATCTTATTTATTCTCAGCACCAGATTCTGTTGCTCATGCTCTGAATCGTTTTGTGCCTCGGTTTTTCTCATGCACGCATTGTGCTCACAACTTTGCTGCTGAGACTGCTAACATAGCTCGGCCTGGTGAAGCAGTGTTTTTACCACGTTACAATGGTCGTACTGAGCGGGAAAACCAGTCTTTAGACTCAGATACAAGAATTTCAGAACTTCCTGCGAAACCAACCAGCCCAGCTGGCGAGGTGCTCTGGCTCAATCTTGTACATAATAGTGTCAACCGTCGTACTGCATCCCTGGCTTCTTCTGATCCTGAGGCGCCAAAGACCATCTTCCCGACACCAGATCTTTGCCTTGCTTGTTGGTCATCCTATGAACTGGCTAGAAGTCAAGTAAATCCTTGGGAGGTCAGGCCAGATCAGCAGAATATCTTGCTGAACTTTCTAGTTGCCAGGTTCACAGAATCAAATTGGAGCTATATCTCTTTCCCAAGCCAGTAGGTATTTCCCCAGTACTTGTATATATTATGATTGTGTTCTACCAGAATCGAAAGCAAGTATCGAAGGCTATTACCACTAAAGTATGAACAAACTCTAAACCGCATATTTTATGGAGAGAAATGGCCCTTTCGCTAATAGGAATGAGACAAACCATTGGATTTAGCTTACCAATTTTCACCATTTCAAGTTTTTGGAAGTTTAAGATCATTACGTATGCCCCTTAGAATGCATTACTTGCTGGAGATTGAGATAAATCTAGCTTCTCTCACTTGCCAAACATGCCTTGCCTAAATCATCACTACTTG